TGAGGCCTTAATACTAACCTCTCTTAAAACATAATCTTAAGAACAAAAACTGAATTAACTTTAGTTCGTTCTTCTGTAATATTTTTATAGCATTTACTAACACTCAAAATTCAATAATGTTCTTATTTAATAAAAATAAATTTTCAAACATTTTAAGGAAACTCCAAATGCCACAATTTGATTTTCAAAAGGCAGATATATTGACTTCAGTCAGTGATCTGGCTAAACACATAGAAAACTTACTATATTACCTATAAAAATCATTAAGAAAGGACAAATCAACTTTGCTTTAGTTCTTCAGAATTATCTCTCAGCTTGTAACTATAATAAAAGTTTAGTAAACAAAACCTTGTTTTAACAATCTTTTAATTTATCAGAGATTACTTTCAACTTAAAACTGAAATAAAAAGTTAATACATCAACCTTGCTTTAGTTCTTCAGAATTACCTCTCAGATCTGAACTGTAATAAAAGTTTCAATCGTAGGGACAATAATTTCAAGCTGGCAGCATATACGCTTGTTCCATAACACCCAGTGACTGCCCTGTTTAAAAACAAATCAATCTCCTTGTCCTCCAGTAAACATTTTCTGAAGTTCCAAACACCCAAGGTGCTACACATGATATTGATGAGGTTCAAAATTTTCACTAGCATGCTAGGATGTGTTTCTTGTGTTACATACCACATAAGTGTTTCCTAAAAAGTGACAAACATATATGATCATTCAGCAAGTGTACATTGTAAAAGGCAAGAACATACAAATACAAAACCAGCTGAATAGAATGTGCAACGAATCTTTGTCTGTAGGGGTATTTATATATTAAAAATATAAAAGTTGTTTATGTATTAACATTTCTCAATTCAAACATACGACATGAAAGGTTTACACAAGTACCGTAAACATATACAAAAAATACAGAAATACAAAAAAATTAAACAAGAGTTGCCATGGGTTTTAATGAGGATTATGTACAAATGTGACAAAGAAATCATATAAACTTCAGTCAATATATTTTATACAGTGATTCATTTTCCACTGAAGAAAACCTTGGCTAAAACCCTTTTGAAGAGTTTTGCAATGTCATGAACAGAATATCTGCACATTCCTATACATTTTACAAGGAAAACTCATTCTAAGACCTCACTTGTTGAATGGAGTGCACATTGTACCTTCAAAAGCACCAGACAACATGCTTAACCTATTAATCATTACGAATTAGAGACACTGAATTTAAAATCATGATTGTGTATATTAATTGTCTGATCAGAGCTGCTCTATAAAGTTCAAACTTTATGAAGAAGAAATAAACCGTGCAAAAAAATTTAAAACATGCAAATCAAAATCTGACAAAACTTAATAAATTACCATAATTTTCTTCCAAGTGTCAATAGCTATTAACTGCTGCAGTTCTTCATCCACTGCACTTTGTTGCTTTAGTTTCTCATCCAGAAAATCCAGGCAATATTCATTTTTAATATTTCTGGTTACTTCCTCTAACACTACAATATCAAGTTCTTCAGGTTTGGTGTTTTTCAAAAGGCATTCGAGCTTGGCTCTACACCACAAAGAATACCCAGGCTAAGAGGAGATATAAATGACAAAGAAGCTATAAACATCATTCATTGTTTTAAATAAGAATTCTATCTAAACA